CTCACTTTCTATCTCTCTGTCTCTCTCTCTCTCTGTCTGGCGAGTGCATGTGCCCTATAGCAAAAACCTTTTAAAAAAAAAAAAAAGAAGTTGCATGGTGTAATGAGTAATGAGAAGGGAAGGAACTGATCAGAGTCATGTGGGGTGTGGGAAAAAAAAAGGAATAGAGACTTAAAGGAAGAATTCTTGCTTTAAAGTATCACTGATATGAGCCAGTCTGTAGCCAGGATGGGATTCAAACCGTGATCAGCTTTGTGGGATTTGGCCTTCTATGTGTAGCACTTAACCAGTGTGCTACAGGGCCAGCCCAACATTGTACAGCTTGAAAGTCAACATCTAAGGGTCAAGAGATGGCACAGGGAACCAGCAGTTAGCGTAATGGCTATGTCGCTGGACTCCCACATAGTCGACCGCGGTTCGTGTCCCGGACCCGGTGGCTTAAAACTCACGCTGGGCGCGTGTGCGTGCGTGCCCAAGATCCCGAGAGGAGAATGGAGGAGAAGGGATTGCGGCGTGACCATTCCCCCTGGGGGGTGATTTCTCGCTTTCTGTCTCTATGTCTCTCTCTGTCTGTCTGGCGAGCGCACACGCCCTACAGTGAAAATCTCTTAAAAAAAAAAAAAAAAAAAAAAGAGATGGCACAGGAGTAATGCAGCTGGACCCCAATGGGAAGGTCCACGGTTTGAGTCCTGCAGAGCTCCTTGGACACAGCAGAGAGGTGTGTACCTGTGACCTGGGCTAGCTGAGGCTGGGGTAGATAGCATAGGATCTTGTTAGGGTGCCTGTCTTTCTCTCTATCATGGGAGAGAGAAATAAATAAAACAAAATATCATCATTATCTTCTCTCCTGCCCATACCCTCTCATATTTTAGATGTCAGCTTTAATCACTGACCACTCTACCCACACTCTAAGTCAACACCCTTGTTATATGCTTTTGTTTTTGTTTGTTTTGCAGCACATAACATCTGGATTAAGCAACTACTAGTATGATATGCTTAATGTCTGTTTCAAACTACAGTACAATTTCTGCTCATTCTTTAGGAACTACCATAGCCTGTAAAGTTTTTGGATGAATGGATAAGAAGCATTACATTTTGTGATCTCTAATGAAAGACACAATTATGTCATGGTATGCTCCAATTTTCTCGTATGTAGCTATGTATCTTTATATATATATGGTTATGTCTAGCTACCTAAATTTTAAACAAATCAAATAGGAAAATAATCTACAAGTTTACCAATTCCAAATTTGAGTGGGTTAAAACATCCTGAAAACCACTCTGGTGATGCTAAACCATTTATATTTTTAAGAATTATTTATATTTAATTTTATTCATAATTATTATTATTATTATTTAATTTGACCAGAGAGAGACAGAGAGAGGGAAAGTCAGAAAGCAAGCCACCAGGTCTGGGACTCAAACTGTGGTTGGCCATGTGGAAGTCCAGTGCCTTAACCACACCACCTGCCAGCTGATGCTAAACAGTTTAATGAATCAATGTCCATATTGTTAAACTAAACTAAAAGAAGAAAGGATGACTCTGAAGAAGAGGAAATCCGTCTTCCATTCAGGTTCCGCAAGTCACTGCATTCTTTCTTTCTATAATTTGTGAGGAGGGTGCGTGTGCTCACCAGGGAGAGACAGAGAGTGGGAGAAAGCACCCTTCCTCCAGTGGGATGTGGTCATGCCACAATCTCATCTCCTCCATTTCTCCATCTTGTCAGGACGTATGGTACCCTCGCATAGACACACCGGTCATGTTTTTCAAGCCAGCAGAACTGGGACTTGAACTGTTCAGTGGGTCCTTCACCACCACCACCACAACACAAGGCCAGCTCGATCACTATAGTCTTTACTCTGAGATAATAAAACTACATGTGGTCTTTGTCCTGGTAGTTCCAAGAGAAAGTGACAAGAATATAGGATTCTTATCAGATATTCTCTAAGAGTTAGCTTGTTATACCACACAAATAGCTAGTTTCTATCTTTAATTTTTGGTTCTCCTTGTTAAATTCCTGTTTTTTCTCAATCATTATCTATGTCCGTTCAACCTAAAGGTGAGAAAGGATACCCTGTTCAAAATTCAGCTTGTAGGTTTTCTCTGATTAACCATCTGCCCCCCTTTGTGACTCCCTCTTTTAACTCAGTATCTCCTTTACCCTTCTGCTCTAAATTACTATTGTGCCATTTATAAGGCACTGATGGTTTTTTTCCTTTCTTAATACAGGTTTATTTCCCCAACTACACTGAGAGTTTGTGGCCTAGACCTTATTCTCTTTTTCCTTGTACATCCTTTTACCACACCATTATTCAAGACCAGTAGGTGCTCGCAACTTACTACGTAAACTGATTGATATGAAAGACTGAGTCTGAGTCCAAGAAAAATACATTACTCTGGAAAAACAATTTCTCCAAAAGACAACTAACTGCTTCAAGTTCACTAAGAAACGTAGAACACATTGTTCATAGATTTGTTGTTACAGACGATGGTGCCAGTCCCACAGCAGTCCATAGCAGCCTGTTAAATCCCTACAGTACCTAAGAACTGCAGAATGCATTTAAGCCAGTGCACCCCATCCATCCAGCTTGACTGAGGAAAGAAAGGGGACAGAGAAAGTATAGTCAGGGGAAGGGTGTTCCTGCCTTTTCACCTCTTCACTCTAATTTCACACTAGGGTGAGGAGACCTGTGTCCCCGAGTTATTGGTAGAATCTGCAGGTCATGAGGGAGAGAAAGGAAGTTTCCACAACGCCCACACTGGAAAGCCTCAAGGCTCCGTGGGGGAAATGATGTGGAAATTCACACACAGACTGGGTGATGCCCGTAAGACTGTGCCACTCGAGTTTGGAGTCACTTTTGTTGTTGTTAGAGGGCAAGTGCACTTGCCTAGAGAAAGCACTCCCTAGTGGGGCATGGTCACACCAGTCTTTTTTCTTCCATCCCTCCATCAAGATTTGCAGCATGCACACATGGGCAGCCTCCATGTTTTTCAATCCACTGCAGCTGGGATTCAACCAGTCACAATGTGGAATTCTGCCCCCAACACTGTAGCCTAACCACTGCCTACAGGGGCCACACCCGGAGTCATTTTTTTAAACCTCTTTCTAATTGTCCAGTATCTACACAAATGAGGAAACTATTTGCCCACTCAAGAGACCAGAGCTTTGCTTCCTGTCTCATTGTCATTCTGTTCACAATAGCACTACCCTTTTTTTTAAAAAACAAGAATTATTTTAACTTTATTTATTCATTTATTTATTTTTTAATTTGACCAGAGAGGAACACAGAGAGAGAGAGAAAGTGAGAAAGGAAGCTGCCAGGTCCGGGACTTGAACCATAGTCAGCCTGTGGGAATCAGAGGCCTTAACCACCATGCCACCTTCCAGCCCCCAGCACTGGTCTTTAGGGTACCCTAAGAACAGCTCACCAACTGCTCAAAACAGAACAATGCTATATTATACTCTTCTTTTGTTGACAGGAGCAAGTCTTAGGTATTTTAGTCACAGTAAGAGATATATTAAGGGGCAGAGTCTTCAAAAAGTTTGTGGAACATGCACATTAGGAAAAAATTATGCATAGACTTAAAAAATATTTGTACCCAAACACGTACCACGTAGTCGACCGCGGTTCGCGTCTCAGACCCGGTGGCTTAAATCTCACGCCGGGCGCGTGTGCGTGCGTGCCCAAGATCCCGAGAGGAGAATGGAGGAGAAGGGATTGCGGCGTGACCATCCCCCCTGGGGGGTGATTTCTCGCTTTCTGTCTCTATGTCTCTCTCTGTCTGTCTGGCGAGCGCACGCGCCCTACAGTGAAAATGTCTTAAAAAAAAAATAAAAGTTTGTGGAACATGCACATTAGGAAAAAATTATGCATAGACTTAAAAAATATTTGTACCCAAACACGTACTTTAATTATACTCTCCCACAAACTTTCTGAACACCCCACATTTAAATCACTTACTCTACTCAATGGAAATACGCCTGGGAATTCTAGTGTGTAGGCCTGATTTATTGTAACTACCTTGAAAACTAGTTCTTTACAGAAAGATTGACCATAGAACTTTCTTAATGTATATAAATCTCCTGTTTATGTAAAATGATAACTTATGATAAATACCATCAGGCTGACTTAAAGCAGGATACAACTGCATGCAAGTTTGTTTTCACTCAAGTCAACTGATTTATAAAGTAATTCTTTCAAAAATAAATTTTTTTAAAGTTTTCCCATTTCTTCCACGAGCAGGAGGGATAGAGTGTTCCCAAAAGAGTCTTGATGCTGCACCCCAGCACTGGCTCCAGCCAGCCCTAGATCACAGGCAAACACGTGCCCAGTGTACTCAGGCAGGTCTCCTGAAATGAACCCAAAACCTTCCCACACAGCTCAGCCCTGCAAAGCATCGCATTTTACTGCTGTGCCACTGACTGGCCTGATTCATTTCTAAGACTGTCCCGTCAATACAAGAGGAATTTTCCCATTCTCAATCCTAATGTTATTCCTCATGTTTTCCCTTTACCAGGAATATCCAGCTCACACCTCATGACTTTCACCAGCCCTGACCTTCTAATACTTTCCAAGTCTAAACTCTATAAAGTACTTAGAAACAAAGACCGTCTTCCTTATCTTTTAAATTAAATCCTTCATAACACTTACCACATGATCAGAAAAGTTTCCAATGCACCAAGAACAGAGTAGACTGTTACATGCCCTAAAATGTTAGCTCTCATTTACAGAGTGTTATCTATGTGCCAGTTTTCTAAGATCTCCTTTTATCTTTTTACTGGTGAGAAGACAGGCACAGAATATAACTAACTTGCCCAAAGAATACTGGTAACAAGCAGAGTGATACTTACTGACCACAGAACTCATTTAATGTATATAAATCTCCTGGCAGACAGACTGTCCTGATCAGGAAGATGGCTCCACTACAGTATTCTTTTATTCGACTGACTGACTGATTACTATAGGGCACCTGCACTTGTAGGAGACAGGAAAAGTGAGAAAGTGACTCCAGGGGGCTTGCCACAGCCAGAAATCTCTCTTCCATTCTCCTCTCCGGATATGTGCCACCGGTACCCCAATCGCAATCAGCCATGTGGGATCCAGCCGCCTTAACCTCCAGGACGTTCTTTCACTCTACAGTATCCCTTTTAATTCCTTCCAGCAGCCACATCGTGCAGGTGGCTATTTTTTTTTTCCCATTTAATAGAGTAAACTAAGGCTCTGAGAAGATAATGAAATCCAAGTTCACACTGCTAGACAGTGGAGGATCCACACACATTGCTGGGTCTACAAGACTCAGCCTCCTAACTACTGCCAGCTACTTTACTCCACTTGTGGTTTGAGGAAAAGGTCCTTTCTAGGAACACCAGGTGGAGATGTGAGGAGCTCCGGCAGCCTGGGACACAGAAGAGGAAGACAGGGTAGGGGAGCAGGACTCCAACTACACCAATATTATCTGCAAATAAAAGGGGTTGCCCAACAACGTTCATGGAGGCAAAAATGCAAACATCAAGCCCTATATTGCCACCTCCTTTTTCTGATGACCCATATTCACAGCCCCAGTCCACCCCCTTTTTCTCGCAGTTGGGGAAACCGAGGCCACCAGGGGGGACCATCATGATGTCCTCCCCATTCCCGACCCTCCACGCCACGGGCCCCGGGTATGCTCCGCTACCCACCCCCACGGCTCGGCTGATGTTGTCCATCTTGACGACGACCTGTTGGAAGAGGAGGTGGCAGGTCTGACAGAGGCGCACGGGCCGGGCGCTGCGCACCAGACACCCTGTCAGCTCCGCACTGCTGTTGGCGAAGTCCAGCAGGCGCTCCCGGCACTCGGGATCCAGTTCTGGCAGGTCCGGGGGCAGAGACAGCGGCCCCAGCCCTCCACCCTGCAGCAGGGACAGGGACAAGTCCTCCACCTCCAGCAACTGCTGCTCCGACAGGAGGTCGTGGAAGACCCTGTGCTGACTGCTGCCCAAAGAGAGCGCGCCCAGAGCCAGTCCCGACCACAGCAGCAGCATCACCAACATCCACGGCAGCCCG